CTGCCTCTGCAGGAGGGGGAGATACAGGAGAGGTGGAGGAAGATCTCAGCCTGGGTGTTTATTGTCTTATGTAGTCTGGAAGATGAGTGGATGGTGGGGTGGGTGCAGTTTTCTCTGTGGTGGGGTTGGGTGGACTGTCCCGGGCTCTGTGGGGCCGGGCGGCGCTGCTGCACTGGGCCCGGTCTGGATGGGCCTGGGCCCCCTTTCCCTGGCGGGTCGCGGAGTATGGGGGTGCCTACTGGGGTCAGCGGGGGAGCTGGCCCCAGGGAGGGGTCACTTGCCCCTCCCTTCCTTCCCTCCCCATCTCCAGCTGCCTCCCTCTTCCCGCTCCACCACAACCACCCACACATGCAGGGCCTTGGAGTAGGGGTATGTCACCAGGGTGCAGAGGAGGCTACCCCCCCCTCTGTCCCCTTCTGGCTGCCTCTGCCTCAATTTTATCCCACAACTTAGACATTCACATTACTCACACTCTCATTACACATACATATAGGATCTTGGGGGTGGGCACGATACACGGAGTCCAAAGTACCATCAGGGTGTACACCCCACCCCTGGCATCGTTGCCCACCTCTCAATTTTAAATACACGTAGACATTGAGGGCTAGCAGGAGGGACCATGCGCTTACCTGCTGCTCTCTGGCAGGTAGCTCCAAGCCCTCCTGGGTTTTAAATGCACCTTAGAACACACATGCATCAACATTACAATGAGCGGGTGGAGGGAGGTTCGGAGTCTTCTCTCACCCCCGTTCTCTGCGACCTGCTGGAGCAGGGGGGCTAGGACTAGGAGGAGGAGTTGGCCGTCCGACTGCGGTCTGGAGTGTGGAGCCTTCCTGCTGCTGCGGAGTCGGGGCGGTCTGCCTCCCCCCACCGCAGGGAAAAGGGAAACACCACCTGGGTCTGGGTGCAGTTCCCCCCTCCAGGGGCAAGGGCACCTAGACCCGGTTTGTAGAGTACGCTTGGGGAGTGTGATCGTGTGTACAACGTCTCTTTATGTCTGTCTCCACGTTGGTTGAGTGTGGAGTAAGTGCATATGAGAGCATGAGGGTGGGAATGGATGTTTGTATCTGTGTGTGCCTGTATGTCTGTGTCTATATGTCAGGTTGGGTGTCAGGCGCCACCTCTCTGGGGACATCTCAGGCCCTCCAAGGTTTGGAGGCCTATCTCCCCCTACCACCACTTCCCCTGCCAGTGGCGGACCCCCTCAGACATCGGTGCGTTGGTGGTTCTTTGTGTCCGGGGATGGGCGTCCAGGTACACACCGGCTCACTCCTTGGCGGCCGCTTATCGGGGCCTGGAGCCTGGGGCTCGCTCGGGCCACTTCGGAGGTGGGGTGCCCCCGGCCTCTCGGCCTGGGGCTCGGTCACTCAGGCGCAGCTGGCTGCCGGCGGAGCTCACGGGCGCGTCACTGCAACTCCCCCTGGCTTCTGCTCCGCGGCTGCTGAGTGAGCCCTCATCTGGGACTCTCCTCAGCTCTTTCTGGGACAGTGGCGCGGCTGCCCCTCTATTGGTCTTCCATGGTCTCTTGTGTTCTGGGGGCCTCTGGATGTCTGGAGTTTTGATCTCCTCCACACCTGCTTCACGCCCTGGAGGACGGGGCTGTGGCCCCCCCACACCCTCTAGCAGATTATTACATGAAGGAACCTTTTAAAAACAAGCGCGTCCATGCTCACAGGTGTACACACGGGTGATCACACCCACAAACTACACCCTTTTTGGCTCCTACCTCAAAGCACACTGTGTTCTGTTGATCTTATGTGCTGCACAATAATGTTTAACATTTAGTATTTACTGTCATATTCCCATATATCATTGTGATGTTGTTTATTCTATTACTCTTGTTCTCTTCTGCTTGCTTTCTTTTTTCTTTCTCAGCAGGTGACCCAGGTGATTGATAGATGCATTTTTTTTTCTCTGCCCGTTCTGTTGGTTTTTGTCTTTTGCCCTTCTCCCCCGTCCCTCTTCTCAGCTGTTTCTCTTTCCCTCTTTCTTTCTCCCCTTCTTTCCCCCAGTCAAGTCTGTCCCGTATTCAGTAAGTGAAAATAAAATAAACAATAAAAGGTGAATCAAATGGACCATTACGGCAAGGCTGGGATGGTCAGTTTGGTAAAGTAAATCCGTTGGGCATCTTTCTTTGCCTTTAGACAACAATTCTGATGGCAAAAGAGCCAAACGGGACAGGCCAAAAAAAAAAAAAAAAAAAAAAAAAGAGAACATGACACAGGTGAACCAAATCAGAGCAGACGAGACAAAGGAAGTGTGGTGAACATAAATGTGCTACCACATTTTGGTAAATTTTATTATTTTTAAGAAAAACATATGTCAGCAATTAAGACAATTATTATTTTACATTCATTACGTGTAGTCCATAACAATTGAGGAGAGTAAAAGTGAGAAATAATAAGCGGAACTGTTGACACTGTAGTCGTTCGCCCGCGGTTGCCTAGAGCGGACCAACTTCCTGTCCTCTCAGATGCAATTCGGGAAAAGACACGAGTGCTCCTGTGATTCTTTCTCTGAGACTCTACCTTTATTTTTACAGGTCAGTATCGTCTTAAAAATACAGTGAAGTAATAATTAAACAGAGAAAACACAATCACCTTAATGAAATTAATACAAGCAACTTGACAGAGGAGGGCAACATACTAAGGGAACACAGAGAGTGGCAAAACATTAACTAAACATGGGAAACACAGGGAAGGCAGGATAAAGTGAAACAGGAATACAATGCAAACTACTATCAGCAAGAATGGAGCAAAAACTAGTAGGACTCAAAATAAAAGATTACTACAAATACCAAAATCAACCAACAAAGGATATAACAGAAGTTGTAGACTAATACATGAAATGTAAACTTAAGAAAACAATTTAACAGAACTTTAAAACCCAAAAACACAGAATGCTGGGCAGCAGGTTGCAGACCATGACATCCAGCAGCCTTGTGGTTTGTCCAGATGCAGCTTTGCAACCATAAATCATGCTGCAATGTTCTTTTCAGAGAGAAGATGATTTCTCCTGAAATCCCTTCAGCCATATTTGTTCAGTGTGTTTCAAATTGTGCTGTTGTGATGGCATCAGCCACACATGGGTAAATCAGTCCATTTGTTCACTTTATTAGTTTGGTTTGCAGTTTTTTTCCATTAATATAATTCATTAATCATTTTATTTAAACCGAACACTGATTTTATGAGGCGCACGCATAATAGCATTGTGTGGTTTTTCTAAAAATGTTTTCTGTTATATTAATTATGTTTCTCTTTCTTTGAGTTACCTGGTTTTGGGCGGTGGCTGTTTCCTGTCTGGGCAAAAGGCGTGGCTGAGGAGCCTGAGAACAAAATGCCTGCTCAGCAGGGCCAACGTTGTGCTTATCAGGAACAGGGGTGTTTTAGGTTTACTTATGTTATTCTGTGCTTAGTTAATATTAGTGTGTGTTTTTATTTTCCCCTATTGTGTGTAAATGGTTTGGCCAAACCACTATAAAAGCTACCCTCTTGTCTTTGTATCTAGGTCAGTTTGTGAGTTAAGTTGTGTCCACTTTGTTTGTTTAAGTTTCTAGAAATTACTTTTTGTGGAGTTATATTTAGTTGGCCTCTTTTATGGGCCTGCTAGTTATGTTTTTGAATTTTGTCTTTTGAACTTTTTTGAGGGTTAAAATGAAGAAAACCCTTTTCGAAGACATTTTTTCCTGTGTCCTCTATGCTTTGGCTGCTTGGTCCCTCACAGCTGTCATGAACTTACACTTTTAACCTGCTTCTCACAGGACTGTAAACACACAGTGGGCTAAAGCTTTAACAAAAAACAGGTACCAGCATACTACAGGAAAAATTCATACAATTATTAGGAATAATTAAGATTGGGACTTCTGCAATATCACAAATATTCAAAGCCTCTAGGAAAATTGCCATCAGAAAAATAATGAAATCAAAACTTAAACCAAGACTCCAAATATTAACAGACCTCAGCACTGTGACACCACAGAGTGGAATAGAGAAAAGATAACAATAAATATCTAAAATTGATGCAGAAAGCCTGAGTGCATCAACACATTATTTTTCACTTGAAATTGACCCTGTGATGCTGAGTTAGATACGCAGTTAATAAAATTAATGAATGGATGTTTTCTGAGAAAAAACATGATTTCTTCCAGACAAAGAAAGTGAAAGTGTCTGATGATGAAACTTTTCATGGGAGGTACTACAAACCCTTAACTAATGTGTAGCAATGTTCAAAGGACACTAATATCCATGGAAGTGATTGTCAGTGATCTTCTTTGGGTGACTACAAACACGCTGTATAAACACCAGTGTTACCTTGAAGACCAGGAAGTTGAACTTGGCAGCGTCACGGCTGTTGTTGTAGTTGACAGACGGCGATGCATCGGGCACTAAGATGGTGACCGAATGATTCCTCTTCACCAGCTCCTCTATGATGTTCCGCATGTTCAACCAATGGCTGAACTCTCCCGGAAATGCCAGAACATGGCCACCATGTACCAGGGAGACGGGATGAAGGAGCAGGAGGGTGAGGGGAAGAAAAAGAAGAGGAAGAGACGTGGAAACCTGCATCATGTGTGAAACAACAAAAAGATCCTGAGTTTGTGAGCAAATCCAGTCAGACTGAAACTGCAGGTCCAGAGTCCAATCTGCTCAGAGGTCAGCTGCAGGTGAGAGCTGTGCTCTGATTGGATGACAACACAAAGCCTGAGGCAAACACAGAAACCTGTTTATTCATTGTCCTGCTGGACCTCACTCACAGTTTCTCAAGTTTTCTCATTTCTTAGAGGTTCATCAGAGTCAGTGCTCAGTTCAGATAACATTTTTTACAGCAGGTGACTTTAACCACAGGCTCAGAACTGCAATTTTTTCATTATCAGACTTAGTCTGTGAAAATATAAATAAAGCCACTCACGGTAACTATGTTTGCTGAAAACCCTCTGCAGTGTGACTGACTCTAAGTAACATTTACATTTAGAGTAGTGAACCACACAGCAGCACCCAGGAAAAACTCCAGTACAGCAGTTTATTTCCACATCCTTTAGTTTTACAGGTTTCTCACTGTGATCAGGACCTTTCTGTCCAAGGAGACTTCTGCACAATCAACTTGTATAGCCAGAATACACAGATACAGCGATTAAGAAATGCTGGTGCAGGTGTGACCTCTGATACATAAATATAATCTTTGAAAATGTTCCAGTGGAAAAGGAGAGCTTTATGTGAGCACTGTGTTTGACTGTAAGTGGATGTGATTGGTTAGTGTAGTAAACTCATAAAGACTGCACAATGCTGCTCTCTTCAGCTTGTGAGGGCAGACCATCCCGATTTTTACATACAAAGGTGAGCAGGGAAAGAATCAGTTGTAATAAAAAAAACCCAAAAACACTGAAGCTTCAACGTTTCTGTATAAAACTCATATTGATATGTGCTCAGCATTGTGATAAAATTTTATCTAGTATCCAACGAGTCATTAAATCTTCATAGAGATTTTAAAAATTCAATTTTATGACGTCAAAGAGTTCAGATATAAATATAAACTGCAAGCTTGAAATCCTCAGGTGACCTCATGAACAGCATGTTCTCAGTTTAATCAGAACGTGTTAGGCATGTCCAGGGATGGATCCCTGTGGAACACCATTAGTGATGGAAAGGGATTCTGAAATGTTTAGATATTAAGTCCTAATGAAGATGAAACCAGTTAATCTGTGTTTAACCTGTTAAACACAGATTAAATGCAATCCCCAAATAGGACTCAGGTGAGGTCAGTTTTCTGGGTGATTTTTAAGGAGTTTTCTAAACACTGGCATAGTCAGTTAATTTCAGTATCAGGCACAAAAAAAAACATGTTTGTTTTTATGTGTTAAATATTGTTTCAATCAGTAGTAAATGCTGGTCTGTAAATCAGGTCATGGGTTAATTTAAATATTCTCCTCCCTATGTTTTGTGCCTTGAACAGGGTCAGCTGATAATGTTTCCCATCTTTCGTACATAGTCTTGTTACTAGACTCTCCTTTGTAAATACCAACAGGACGGTGCAAACAGGAAATCTCTCTTCAGTCCTTCTTCTCTCTTCCTGCTCGCCGTCTGCACTGCCGCAGGATGCAGCGTATCCCCACCCACCACAAAGCCGCGACGGTCATCAAAGCGATCAGCAGGGCAGCACCGGTGTCCAAGCTGTGGTACTGGAACCAGTTCAGGTCGTATGATGCCAACCGCAGATGCCTAGCTCCACCGTGTCGCATCACAAACTCCACCCAGAAGACGGCGGTACTCAGTGGCGTTACTGGCTGGTCGCGGTGCACCGCTGACAGACGCTGCATGTTGGTCCTGTAGCTGTGCATGGTAAACAAACAGGAAGTCATATGACAGTTTCACTGTTAAACAGTAGTGCACTTTTATTGTGAAGGAATCAGGTCAAAGACAGGAAATGGGGCGACCGTGGCTCAGGGGGTTGGGAATCGCATCTGTAACCGGAAGGTCGCTATATAAATCCAATCCATTATTATTAAATAAAATGTTATTAAACAGGTCCAAATGTACAAAGATGAAACTATTAACAGGAAATATACAAACACAATTCCACACTAAAATCACCTTTACCTTGGCTGGTTTGTGACGACGTGCAGCGCCTCTGCCAGCTCCTCAGCTGTCAGATGGTTGAAGTCCAGGACGATGGCGGTGCCGAGGCGGCTCATACGGGCGAGATTATCAGGCTGATCGCCAAACAGCGGCACGCCCACCAGAGGCACGCCGTGAAACACAGCTTCATATAGACTGTTAGTGCCGCCGTGTGTCACGAATGCCTTTGTCTTTGGGTGACCTGAGGACAAAAAAAATACAGAGCTTTTATTGTGAAAGAACATCTTTTTGCAAATATTGATTATGTTAGTTGCCATTTCTGAGTCAAAACTTACCAAAGATTCTCACACTCAAATAAACACTTGGGCATCACTGAGAGTTAAAAACAGCCAAAATTCTTTCATCCTCAATGAAATGATCTGTTTGGCTTCTCTCACACCTGCTTAAATAAAGTTTAACATACAGGCATCCAAAATTTATAAAATTTAACAGAGTTTAAAGTTAACGGGAAGTCAGCTAGTTAGCTTCTATGTAAAGATACACCATGCACTGACAGAGATTTCTACCCCCCCCCCCCCCCAACCACCACCAAAAACATAAAATATACTGTTATCACTTCGGACATAAATGATAAGCCATCCACAGGAGGATTATCATCCACGCAGGAGGAGTCTGGACCTGGAAGGAGGCTTGGTATGTTGCCACTTAGCAAGTGAATAAGAGGCCTATTTGAGCTTTTATTTTGAAATTCCATGACATCATGAATGAGTCATACCCAGCAGGTCGTTCTGAGGGATCCAATCAGAAATCTTCGTGTTTGGAGCCAATGCAGTTGGAGCCTCGCCACGGTAACGCCAAATCACCTGAAAGGAAGAAAACACTCTTCAAGTCAAAGATGAAACAAACCATCTGAGCTTCTTCTGCCTGCAGGTATTTTTTGGATGATTATTGCAGAAAGTAATCAATGATGCAATCAATATCTGCTGACAGCCCAGTCCCTGATTGTTTGTCTGTGAGTAGGTGGAGCTTCTGACCTTCTGTGGGATCTGACCGAAGGCGGTGGCGATGATGTTAGCGTGCTGCATCGTCAGGTTGGTTACCATGGAGCCGAAGGAAGCCACAATTATGCCGGCATCACCTGAACTCTGCACAAATGCCTCCAGGTCCTGGAAGATGTGACATCATCATTACATCAACACTCACCTGTCCCATTTCAGAATAAAAGTGTGTGCAATCAGAGCTCACACCTCTGGCAGCTGATTGGCCGGTTTGCAGTGTAGACCGCCCACGTATTTGAAGTTTGGTGGGGTCGGCCGTGGCGTCTCAATGTCCCAGAACGTCCTGATGAGCCACACGTCGGCCTTCCCCATAGTCTCACACACACTGCTGGGAGTTCCTGTCCATACAGGAAAGAAGGGATATGACTTCAAAATAAAAGTTTGTACAGATTCAAAGTTATTTGGACAAGGATGGTTTCTATAATTCTGCATCTGTGCACCAATATAACGGACTTTACATCAAACCATCGAGATGTGACTAAGTGCAGTCTTCCAGCTTTAATTCAGGGTTTAACTTCAGTCTAACATTAACAGTTCATGAATTACAGACATTTTTTTACACAGTCCCTCATTCTCAGAGGATCTAAAAATAACGTTACAAACAAATTTAATTTTACATCAAAGGACAGTTCTCACTACTTGATGAAAATCCTTTGACTGATGAAGAACCCACAGATCAAATGCTGTCTCTTCCTCCAGCTGCTGCTGGTTTCTGCTCTCTGCCTTCAGTTTTGTACTTGAATGCTGAAATGTTGCTCTGCTGGTCTGAGATCAGCTGACTGACTCAGTCATTAAAGAGTATCTTTGGGTTGTTTTGCAGTTTGCTTTGGCTCATCATTGTCTGCTCTGTGAAGCTCAGTGTGATCAGTTCTACAGCATCAATATGAATGTGAGCAGAGAGTAAGACTGTCGTTGTGCTGGTTTTCATCTTTGATTTGTTTTCATACCTAATTACTAAGAGAAAGATCACGTGTGATCTCATTAGGATAGGGGTTTGTGTTGGTGTGTGGGGCTGTAGCCTGTAGGTTTATATTGTTAAATGCTGATTATGAGACAGTGTGTTTCAAATCATTTTACAGAGTAACATGAAAGTAACATAATGAGAATGTCTTTCTCCTGGGTGTAATTAAGTAATGTACTGCATTACTTTTAGGAAAAGTGTTCTGTAAGGGGAAATACCTCCAACATGCACAAACATGTGACCCACAGCATGTAATTAATTTGCATGAATGTAATGTCTTTGATTGCAAAATTCTTATCAATTCCCATCCCTAAGGAAGACAGTCTTTAACATCACATCCTCATATCTTAATCTTTGCAATCCTTATTTTCAGCTCACATCATGGAAAGTGTAGGTGTTTATTCCTTCAAATAAATACTGCTGTAACATCTTTGCTCTGTGGACCTCTGATTATTTTGGATGTGCTCAGATGGTTATCAGAAAGACATTAAGCCACCACTGCACTGTTCATCAGTGAGCTGTCTGAAGACTTTTGACATGAGTGTAAACATATCTGTGAGCTCCCAAAAAGTTGATTCTGTTCATCTTGAAATAGCCTTTCCAGTGGGAGAAATGTTACATCATCATCATCTAAGTGACTTCTTCAGCCTCAGCTGACTGCAGGCTTCCCCAACCTTATACATTTGCACAATGACTGAAACTAGCACCATTGACGAACAATGGCTGTAAGGTCAGTTTCTTGATCATTAATATGGACATTGTCATGATCATTGATTAAATGCAGATCCACAGTCTATTCAGGCCTACAGGCCAGTGGACACTCTTTCAATGATGAGGATGTACACACCCTGGACAGGGAGGAACGCTGGTTTGAGCGCAGAGTCAAAGAGGCCAGGGAAAGACCATCTCTGAATCGAGGAGGGGGCCTAAGGATACATCTTTTGCCATCTTACAATGCTGTTTTTGCATTTATTCCCTAACTCTCTTTGAATGGTACTCATGGATCAATGATCAATGGTCACTAATGAATCATCAATGGTCTTTTTCAGTGGTTGTTGATCAATGGTCATGACGATTTGTATATTAATGATTATGAAACTGACCTCACAGCCCATTGTTCGTCACTAGTGCTAGTTTCAGTTATTATTCAAATATACTCTTTATAAGGTTGGGGAAACCTGCAGTCATCTAAGACTGAAGAAGTCACCTGAAATCGTCTTTCACCCACTGAAAACGTCCAGATGAACAGAATCAACGTTTTGGGATTTTCCTACCTGAATATTGAGCATGCATCCAGAAATTTCTGTGAGCTGTTATTTTAGTTAAACTCTGAATCAAAGCTGAATATCTGCCTTCAGTCACATAATGATAGTTTATTTAAACCCTGTGTGATGCCCTCAGAGTGGAGACATAACTCTTGACCGCTGACCTTTGATCTCCCTGTAGTATTGATCGAGCGTCAGCTTCCAGGTCAGTTCGCTTACTGCTGACGACCCCACATATATCACCATGTTGACCAGCCTCTCACTGAGTGTCATGTGGTCGTTGTATGAGAGAGGAGCTAACGGGACGTAGGATGGCGGTGCGGGGGCGTGGCCACAGTGTCGCTCAAAAACACTGCCGAAGCTGAAGCGCATTGAGATGATGAGTGGCACACTGAGCAAGTCTGCCACCAGGTCACCACACATTGCCATCGAGTCCTGCAAGATGACGTCAAAGCTGGTGTGGCGCAGAGTCGCCATCAGCTGCTTGTTCCTCAGCATTCCGTCACACTGCTGCCTCCCGAAGTCCAGGAAGTGCAGTATCCAGGAAGCTGTCTTTAGGAACTTCTGCAGTGGTGAAGACAAGTGCGCCTCATACATGGAGAAACGCATCAATTCCTGCATAAGGTCCAGATACTCCTGCCGGCTGTACGACACCTGCAGGAGGAAACACCTGATCAGGTCATTGATTCTATATCAGCTACGCCCAAAAAAAACAATGAAAAAAATGCTTTCCTCTGATTTTCAGGTCTGAAATGAGACAAACACGGAGAGGTGTCTGTGGGTAATCAGGGGGAAGGACGGGAAATTAAAGTTACTCAGAACCATTACTTCACAGTGATTGTCAGGGATCTTCTTTGGGTGACTACAAACACGCTGTATAAACACCAGTGTTACCTTGAAGACCAGGAAGTTGAACTTGGCGGTGTCACGGCTGTTGTTGTAGTTGACAGACGGCGATGCATCGGGCACTAAGATGGTGACCGAATGATTCCTCTTCACCAGCTCCTCTATGATGTTCCGCATGTTCAACCAATGGCTGAACTCTCCCGGAAATGCCAGAACATGGCCACCATGTACCAGGGAGACGGGATGAAGGAGCAGGAGGGTGAGGGAAAGAAGAAGAAGAGGAAGAGACGTGGAAACCTGCATCATGTGTGAAACAACAAAAAGATCCTGAGTTTGTGAGCAAATCCAGTCAGACTGAAACTGCATGTCCAGAGTCCAATCTGCTCAGAGGTCAGCTGCAGGTGAGAGCTCTGATTGGACAGCATGATTGGCCTGCTTCAAGGCAAACACAGAAACCTGTTTATTCATTGTCCTGCTGGACCTCACTCACGGTTTTTAGAGTCAGCTCAGGTAAAATGACACAGTAACACATATCACAGAATAAAACTTTAACCACAGCCTGAGCAGCTTCATATTCATCTCTCAGTCTGTGAGAATATTAAATATCAAGAGTCAGACTGTACATGAAACACACTCTTGCTTTAATCAGAGGCGGAGCCAGACATTTGAAACAGTAGTATGCATGTGGGATTCTTTTTTTTTTTTGGGGGGGGGGGGGGTAGAAATGACTGAGATCAATAGGCTCTGTTTTGAGTTTTGTTCAAAAACGAAGGACTTCATATAGGGAAAAAAATATCACATATGCAGGACACCTTAAACTAGGTTTTTAATTAAGCAGCAAGGCAGAACAAAGTCGGGCTGTATCAAGACACGAGGACTAAACCCCAATTCAACCAGACCCAGAACTGATCCGGAATTAAAACAGGACTACAACAGTTCAAACTCAGGACTACTTAGGACTTAACCAAGACAGAACCAGAATCAGAACTAGATGATAGTAGCACTAAAAATCATCATAGACCTGCACTACACTTATTTTTTTAATTCTACAAAGTCCACTATTTAGATTGAGAAAAGTTTATATAATTATTTAGCCTTGTTGTGCAAACAAGCCTGCAAAACTTAATAAATATAGAATTTGAAAAGTAACAAACCTAAAAAGAAACACTCGGTACGAGATACATGAGTACCTATGATACGGTGATACTTTTGGTAAACGACCATTTGACTAACATGTGTCTCACCTGCTCTTGTTCCCTCTCTCTTCTGTCCTCATTCTCCTCTCTCTCCCTCTCTGTTCCTCTCTCTCCCTCTTTGTGGTGACAATCATCAAATATACAGTTGAAACCAGATATTTACAAACTCTTCAGATAAAAACACTTTTTTAATTGTAACATCAAATCAGACTAAATGTTTATTTTTTTAGATAAATATAAAAACATATTTGTTAACTGTAAGAGTAAAGAGAGAAACTGTCTGTATTTCTTAATTGCAAATGGCACCAAATTGTATTCAAAAGTGAGCCACACTTATGGAGCTCCACAATTCTTTTCCTGGTGTTTTGGTTGACATCTCTTGATGTTCCCATGTCACAGAAACAGGCTCTGTGTTTTGCCTTATATGCATCCACAGCTGTGGCACCAATTTACTCACATGGACTCTACTAACCTATCAGAAGCTTCTTCAGCTCAGAATGGAATCGTCTGGAGTTTCTTATTAATTAACAATAAACTTGTGTATATGTACTCCTAAATCTGATGAAAGTGATAAAAAATAGACAGCTCTGTCTCTCTTTATTCTGACATTTAACGAATTCAAAAGATATTTCAATATTTATTTAACCAAAACAAAACAAGTTTACTCTAAATTGATGTTGTACAGTAAAAAAATGTTCTTGTGTTTTCCATAAAGTGTGTGTAAATATCTGGTTTAAACTGTGAATATACTGCTGTGTATTGAACTTCCTCTTGTTTTGCATAGAAATATACTGAACAACATACAAAGCACAATATATAAAATACTACCAGAGTTTTTTCTTTGAAAGAAGCCCCTTATGTCCATTCTTGTATATCAGTGCATTACTGAAACCGATTTATTTAGCCGTGGAGGGAAACAACTGAAAATATGAAATAAACACACATGTAAGCTAAGACTCTCTAAAGAAACAGCATTGTTGTTGTTCAGTTTTTCATTTCGCCATTTGTTGATTCACTCGAAGAGCAAGTAACGTAATATGGGTCAAGTGATCAGTTTGACATCAATCTTTCGTGATACACCGTCATATTTACATTATTTGTACAGTACGAATGACTTGCTTTGGTAACTGGTCAAACTTCAGTTCTCCTCTGTCTGCCTGGCTGCGCTTCTCTAACAGCGCACTCGCAGGCAGCAGCTGCCCCGCCCCGTCTGAGCTCAGATCATACCAATATTAGGGGGGATTTACGCACAGTTGTAAATTCCCACAGTGTGCTCTATGTGCTTCGAATATTGTGTGTAGTTTTTGTTTTATACAGTTGTCAGCCAGGCATCTAACTATGAAAAAATTACACTCCAAAAGACCCCGGGCTTCTGAAAAAACAACCCGGGCTTAAGCCCAGTAAGCCTCCCAGCTCCGCCACTAGCTTTAATCACACTCTCATCTGCAGAAACTCAACACTGCAGCTTTCATGAACACTTTTTCTGATCTGCTTTAAAATGGATGATAAGTAAAGACAATACATCTGAGAGCTCAAAGCGCCGCACTGCAGGCGTCACAGACACATACACACAGCCGCTTCCTGTTCTTTCAAGAGCTTTTATTTTGAAGTTTCCGGCGGAAGTTCCTCGGTGTAACTGCTGCTAGCTTCCTGTCGACCTGTGTGGTGCAAACAGAGGTTCCGAAAGTGGACAGGGCGGACGGATTCCGCATTTCCGTTTAACCGACTAAAATGGGATCTGAGAGGACTTAACGGAACCTGAAGGATCCGCCGGGCTAAAGCCAGGTAAACACAGCGGTTAAAAATTTCTCGGTTTGTCCCGGGCTGACAGCCTCCCTCATAGTAAAGCCTGCTAACGCAGCTAGCCGCTGTTAGCTCAAACACTTTACTAATTTTCCCAAATCTCGTTTTTTCCCCACTTTGACCCTCACCGTTCCCGCCTCGTGACTTCCCTTGATGTAACGTCACATGAGTTCCGCTCTGACGAAATAGAAAAACGTCAGGTGAGCCGTTAGTCAGTTGACTGAAAACGGGTAACAGGAATATTTCTGGGTGTTCTGTAAGTCTCGCGAGAAAACGTGAAGCTGTGACATCTCATTATTTGTATTCCACCTGCCGATTGCTCATCAGACTACCACAAAATAGAACTTTACATTTACAGTTAAGACCTAAGTGTAAGTGCGGTCATTTAATCCTGAAGGGGACATCTTTGTCCCCACGGTAACCTCACAGGTGAGTTCCCTCTGATGATGTAACATTTACCCAAGCTTCCTGTTTGGCTGTATGAATAAAGTGTAATTCAACTGAAAGGTACAGTGAGGTGATTTGTGGAGTGTATGCAGAATGGCAGGTAAAGCTCCGCCTTTATGTATCAGGGGAAGATGGATCAATTAGAGATTATCAGTGAAATCAAGAAGGTCAATCAGATCAATTGGAGATTGTTTCAAGCGGGCTGTGGTCATGTGACCTGTGCTCTCTGATGGAGTGTCAGCCATGCATTCAGGGTACAGCTGGGCGAGGAAAATATAATATGATATATATATATACATACATACATACATACATATACATATATGTGTGTATCATGATATGTCTTGAGCCTCCAGCGCCCTCGGTACCGGGGACAAAGGGGGTGAGCTGCAGTTTAAGCTTCCATGAATTTTGTTTTTTTACGTAAATAGCTACATGTGTGGTATCCACAGAAACCTCGGAATCTCAGCTAAAAGCTTATACAAACCATTTCTACAACCACCAAACACAGCGAAAATAACAAACAATTAAAAGAGCAGTCATGTAATTTCACAACATGTGCCCAACCACAAACAATGAAGCTACGAACTCACTCGACTTCATATAACCAAGCAAATGGCACGTTGTCTAAAAGCAGAGATGTCGCAGATTCCAAAGCTGCACGTTTTGTCACGCTCCGACCAAAATTCACTGAACCAGCTGCAAAAGAAGACCATAAATATACTTCACGTTCGATAAACAATAACATGGAATCAGGCTTACTGTGCAGTTTTTCTTTGTTTCTCTCGCCGATATGTAGCTCATATAAAAGCTGGCTTATCTAAAGTTTTCTTTGGTGTGTGGGGAGACGTTCATGTGCAGAGTTTAAAACATTCTTAATTTTGCAGTGGATGACTTTCCAGCTGGTGGAATAGATTAGTGGTACTGCTATCTTACGTGGCAATAGTTTAACAGCATGTTTTGCAAATTACCACATTTTGTTTGATATCCTCATAAAATCCAAACGACAGCGAGTCTCATTCTCTCACTTAAGTGAAATTCCCACTGTCGCCATATTTTTCCCTATCTGGTAGTATATAAACACACATGCTCAATGCAGTGTGCTGGGTAGAAAATTTTCCAGTTGGGAGGGGGATTATTGATGCATTCGCAGCATTTGGGAGAAAAAAATCAGTGAATTACGTGCAGACAGCTTAATATTTCCATGACAACCTATACTCGATGGTTACGATAAAGCGATTTTAACCATCAATGCAGTCATCTCAGAAATAATGAGCTCCTCTTCCAACCCATCAGGACTCTCAGTGGCCATTTCACAGTACTCAAGTACACAAGACCGTAGTTGTGTACAGACAGATCTGGGGCAGCAGGTTGAGGGTCGCAGATGCCAACAGACTCAATAAACTGATCCACAAGGTCAGTAATGCTGTGGGGATGGAGCTGGACTCCCTTAAGGTGGTGTCGGAGAGGCATATGCTGTCCAACATAAGGACAATGCTGGACAATACCTCCTACCCACTGCATGATGTGCTGGCCAGTCATAGGAACATGTCACAGTACACTAGGGTTTGCCATATTATACGTTCACGGTAATACCGGTGCAATGTTAGGCAACGATAAGAAAATGAAATATCGCGATAATATATGGGTAAAACACGCATGTGCAGTGCCTTTGTTTTCATATGCACATGTCCGAAAAAGCATGGCGGTAACAGAGAATGAGAAGGGAGAAAGCGGATCGTTGAGTGAAACGGATGAACCAGAATTTGTTTGTAAAAATGGTGACACTTCAGTGATGTGGAACTGATTTGGTGTTTGTCCGTCAGATACACGACAAAGCACTTTTTTTTTTTTTCTGCAATGCAAGCGGCCGCCGTTATTGCCGTATTTGCCGGACTAAGGTGCTCGTAAATCTGGGTCCTAAACTCAGTCTGCTTCAGGTCCCAAAGTCAAA